GATTGATGTGCGGTTACAGATGAGCTCAGCTGAAGGATAATGTAGCTTACCCCCCTATTTGGTGGACACTTGAGCTGGGCCTTGGGTATTTCCTTGACCACAGGATGCCAGAACTCCCATGGATCCAGCAGGGCCTTGCAGAAGTTATCCCTCCTTATGGATAAGGGTGTCGGCAGCCACTGGCTGCGCACCCAGCGAAAAACATCCACCTCAATGGTGATCGGAGTCTGCGGTATGTCCATCAGCAGCTTAATATCCCCGCTATAGTAGAGAGTCTCCAGATCATCGGCAATCACAAAGTGCAACTCGCTCATGTCCAGAATCTGTTTGACAGGCACATCACCCTCATCATCCACGCCATCACATTCGATGGCCATTGTTTTTTCATCGCCAATGATCTCATAGTTGGCTGCCTGGAAGCGTAGTGTAAAAGGTGTAGCCCTAGGGTAGCAACTGGAACTCACCATGCAGACTCCAATGCGCAGGATCACCAGCAGCAAAATGCAACACTGGACAGTGGGTCGCTCCATTTTGTGGCTCCTGCAGCGGCTACCACACTTTATATATATCCATAGCCACAATGCTATGAATGAATGGCCATTCAATGGGTATCTATCATCTTTCGTATTGTCAACTAATTGCCAAATGAAACTCTACTTCGATCTAGATTTAAATGTTGAATGGAAACTTTTGTTTCAGCGCTAAACGCAACCCATTCGCCACAGGGTAAGCTACAGGGTGCATCAACATTCACGCTACGTTGACATCGCTGAGGGTCAGCGGACACTCGACCGGAAGTGGGGCGAGGAGCTCGGCTCTCAATGCTCCAGCCCACAACCTACACATATCGCATATCACGCGTGTGTCGTGTGGTCGCCTGTGGGACAGTCGCCAATGACTTGACGCACTTGACCCTGGACAACTGACTGACTAACTGACTGACTGACTGACTGGATGCTTGCTTGCTGCTTTGTAGGCCATGGCGACTATAAAACATTAAATCGGTCCGACACACGCCCGTACGCACGATAACGGGTGAAGCTTCTTCAGAATGGCCATAAAAGCCACGGAGACGGCAGACGCAGCGCGTGGCAAGCCATCACTGGATGGCATGGGAGCTCCTCTGCTTGTTGCTATCATTGTACGGTGACCGGCGTGACCTTTGGATATCTATTTATGAACAAAGAATTGTAGTCTACAATGAATGAGAGCTACATGAACATTCCACAGCATCCTCTGATAGAAAGAGCCGTAAAAGTCGCTTCAAAATGCACGAATAAAAACGGACCTGAGCTGTAAGGAGATATTGGCAAAGAGAGGCTCCAAGTTTAAGCAAGAGCTGCATGTAGTCCCTCATCTTGCCAGGGAAATCTTTTTTCATGTTCGATTAACTTGAAGCATACTTTTAGGGGGTTATATTGCCGTTGGCCGTGGATTATATTTTCTAATCAGAATTGGTTCCGTCCAGTCCGTAATTGCTGCTGCTGCTGGTGCTGACCATTAAACCACTGGGCACCTCGCCAATGGACAGCACTTAGCTGCTTTCATATGCGCTGGAGGTAATCCCCACTGACCCGCCAGAGTCCATCGCTGCGATTGATGGCGGCGTGACATCTCCCTCGGCGGCTGCCGACTGTTGATGCTGCGTCTGATTGTTGCTGTTTTCGCTACCACAGAATTTAAATCTAAAAAGAATCGTTTTTGAAACCAATCAAGATAGTGGAGATGGACTCAATTTAGTCATCTAATCAGCAAATTTACAGGGCAAATTGCATGACTTCAACCTTCTGTGTGGGGATCTGGGTTTCAGCTTTAACCCTAGTAAGTCTGCTATTCTTCACATGGTTAAAAAAGGGGCAAAAACACAATAAACATATCAGTAGGAAATGTCCAAATACCTAATAGTAAATGTGTTACCTTTCTAGGTAGAATTATAAACGCAAACATGTCATGCACCAACCATGTTAAAATGGTGAGAGAAAAAGACCAAAAAGAGTTGTAGACTTTTACAGATGGATGAGGACTATAAGATACAATGTAGAACTAAGGGCACGAATCTAGTCGAGTATTTCACAGAAATACTCAAAAAACCGTGGCAAATGGAAGGCCAAAAGCATTAAAATGCCAACGTCTCACAGTCAAGTCGGAGTTTTGCAAGCAACAACAGATGGCGGCTGGCCCAGCCACTGAGAGTAAACAAACCCAAACTGCTGGGGAACAAGGGAAAGAGAGGAGGAGCCCTCAAGCGCAAGCCCAAGGCCAACTAAGACTAAATTTAACAAAATTCTTAAAGTATTCATAATTGCAATAATAATTGTGGCTTAATTGGCTTAAGATTATATTTATGGCATCTATAACTTAATATCTCATGGCAGACCGCGAATTGTCACTCTTTTCTGGTATAAATTCTTTCTCTGTTATCACTGCTGCACTGTTGCTGTACACAATGGTCGTTTTTTGGTGTCTTTTACCTACGTATACCTAAGCTTAGGCTAAGCGGAATGTAATCTCAGTTAAAATATTGTTTTTTTTTTGGAAATTTCAACTATTTGTTGCTTCCAAGTCTTTTTGTTTTTGTTGTGGTCAGTCTTTTGTGTTGTTCGATTTGGGTTTCCCGTAGATTAAGACCTTGGCACGAACTGTCTTGCATCCCGACATCTTGACATCTGTGACATTGATCATTTCCTGCACCCGCTCCTGATCCACGTGCAGATTCTCTAGGGCCGCCTCGTGTCGAATGCAACTTTCCAAGTGCTGCTGCTGGAGCGTGTCGTATTGAATGACTTGAGTGTGAGGCAACTGCAGCACGGTGGCGAATTGCTCGAGTGCAGTCTCGTCGAGCCAACGATTGACATTGAAGATGTAGACTATGGCCAGGCGTTTCAGGTTTGCTTTGTGCGTATTGTTGTGTCTGGCGATGTCGCCAAAGTTGCTGACCAGATCGTTGAGCACTGGCACAAGCTCTTGGTCCCCGCAGGCCGTGCTCAAGTTGTCCACGAAGATGAGATTGCGGCCACAGTGGGACAATTTACTGAGCAGCGGTCGCATTCTGTTCGCTTCCGAGATATCAGTTTTGGTCAGAAAGTGCACATTTTCCGGCCAGGGGAACAGCTCGCGGAGCAGACGAGCAGTCAGACTCTTGCCCACGCCCGAAGATCCCACCAGCGAAATCGACTGAAACTGTGGCTTGCCCAAAGCCTCCTCCAGCTGGTCGAGCGCCGTTTCTTGGTTCAGCACGTGCCGGCGAATGTGGCCAAACGTTTCGTGCAGCGACAGCGTATGATCACAATAGTTTTGCCTGTTGTGGATGATGGCCTGGTACTGCCTGCTGTAATTGAGCATAAAGTTGCTCACATTCTCCTTGTCGTAGTACGAGCTAAGGCCGAAAAGTAGCGCCACCAGCGCGATCAGGAAGATGCACCGGCGGGGCAGAGACATCCACGAATTCTTGGGTGCAGACCGCTGTGCAGCACACTTATCCACGGCAATTAAACGACGCACCCGGAGTTTCGTTCCGAGGTAAGAAGCTTTGCTGTGGCTCTGGTGCAAGTCATTCAATCGCCGCTTCGACTGACGCTGCTTTGCCTTTTGCAACCCAGCGATTGTTGAGGCCGTCTTATCTATGCTCATTGTGCAGAATCTAAATGGGACAAACATTAATCTGTTGGCTTATTTAGTTAATAATATACGCACAATTTGGCTTCAATTTGATGAAATTAATTTTGTTCCTTTTTTTGAGGTTTTATGTTACCGCTCTACCCTTGGGTAGAGGGGGATTATTAGGCCGCCCGCCTTCACAAGGTGGATATCGCCACGTCGAGAAATGTAACTTGTTACAGTTGTACTCCAATTTTGTCGATGAACTCTATGAATGTTTGGCACAATTTGTTATTTTTCGAAGAATTATTATTATATTTCTGCCTTAGCGATTACAATTAAATATTATATGCGATGCGTTATCGATAGTATCGCAAGTATCACAAATCTTATTTACGATTACGTGCATTTTGGCAAGTGTGTGCCTATCAAAGCAGTACCGCAGAGCAGCTTTTTTGATCATGAAAAACAGGTTTTAACTTGTGTTCAGTGATCTTTCTTATTTTTTATTGAGATGGGCGACAATCGACATCCCACACGATAGTTACGAAGTATCGATAGCAGGCTGATAATATTAGGAGTGAGAGCGTAGTGACGGGTAAAAATTTAAAATTTTGATTTCCCATCATTAAGGAACCAGCAACACGGTCTGGCTTATTTCTATTTAGGAACCATGGTTTTGTTGAGGTAGAGGTAAAAAGTGAGCAGGACTCTCATTCTGTATTCCGGGGGAAGTTCTCCTGCCGTTTGGTAAATAGTCTAGTCTACTTCTGACAAAGGCCTTGTAAACTATGAGCCACTGAGTAGTCTTAGAAACGCAGTCTTGTGCAAGTCTTTGAAACATAGTCTTGTGCACTGAGGCAGAGTTGTTCGCTGAAATTATTCTGCCTAGATATTTGATCTGATCTACTTGCCTAATCTCGACTCTTCAAATACTGAAGTGAATCACTTTGGATTTGGCTGGGTTGAAAGCTAGGTTAAGCCTGTTGCATTTCGCCTCAAAGCTGTCTACTTTGCCTACAAGCATACGTTTAGCAATGGAAATCTCTTTATGGAAGCAAATAATACAAAATTCGTCCGCATACTGAAACAGTTCTGCGGTGTACAGGTTGAACAGAGTTGGACGGAAATTTTGGTCTAGCTGCTAAAAAAAATGAGAAAATGGCCCAGGACACATGTCCTTCGTGGAAAGTTCTCCCAGGGAAATCCTCTCTTGTGTCTAAACGGTCAGGGAAAATTTTTCCCCCCAGACGGAATAGGTCAGCGAGAGAGGATTAGGTCAGTAGAGAGAGCAAGAATACTTTCTCCTCTCTCTACTCATTTTTGCGGCTCAATTTGAGCACAGAAATACCAGAAATATGCAACAAAAAATATACGTTCACACTTACATAAAACGTAAAAAGTAGTGTTTGCAAACGCGATATGTTGGATCGTTCGTGCCATAGGAACTAGTTCGCGCGTTCCATGTTTACATTTTGAGGTGGCCGAATTATAACCAACCGATGGAAACGTGAGAATAATCATTCAAATTGAATAGGAAGCCATTTGACAATTTAACTCTCTTAGTGTCAATGCTACCTACTCGTATCTGACGAACATGGAGGTGATGCAGGTGCTGCAGAAAATCAAAAGCACCAAAAAGAAGTTCGGCCTGCGAAATCTGGCCACAGTTACCTACGAGGTGTGTATAGTTGATGTTTATTCATTAACGTGCAACAGCTGAGAGCTCGTGGCATTGCTCTTGCAGGCCCTGCAATATCTGGAAGAGTCGCCGTGCAAGACTCAGACCCGTGAGGGCATCATAAGCTACGTGAAGGACCTGGCCAACTATCGCCTGAAGTCCCACGAAGTGCTACAAATGGTCAACGATCCGCCCACCAGTCCGCTGCACACACAATTAGTAAGATTCGGTTGAAATTTGAGCCTGTATGCACGCTTAGCGTTCTAATTGCAGCTGATCGATGACAACAAATCTCCGTTGACGGACGAGGAGAACGAGAAAATCATCCAACTGACATACAAACACTTTTACGGAGTGGAACCAACGCCACAGCCTGCCCAAGCCCAGCCACAGTCTGCAGCCAAAGAAAGCAAAAGGGCGGAGCAGAAGCAGTCCCAGCCGCCGGCAGCACCACAAACGGAGGGGCAAGCCGAGCCAGAGAAGGAGAAGCCGGATGAGGCGAACAAATAGCATTTAAGGGCTTTAACGTTTAATATTTTATTGTAGCGTATAAAAGAAGACAGTAATATTTATGTGCTGCTTGTTGCTTGTTGGTGAAACGACGTGGTGTTGGTGTTGGCGCCTAACGTTTCTGATCACCCAGGTCCTCGATGACATCCTCATCGATTTCTGCCCACTTGTCGGGTATGACGTCAAAGAGCTCGTCCTTGACATCGCCCTGAATGACAATCTCATCGTCGCCGGTGACCGACGAGCCGCAAGCGAACTTGGTGCCAAAGAATTTCGCAGCCACTTTGAGATCAATATCTGCAATCAATTTCAAAGAAAACAAAATGAGCGAATGCACAAAAGAAAGAGGAAAGCTCGGAAAGGGACTGACCAAAGGTGCTCAGGCCGGTGACAACAGTCACAGACTTCTTTTTGCCGCGGGCTGCTCGGGACACACAGATGCGCTTGGGGACATCCTCCTTCTTCTTGACACGCAGCAGTCCCTTGCCGCCGCGCTTCTGGCGCTTCTTGTCATCGTCTGTGCCGTCGGCAGCTGCCTGCTCCTCCTCGATCTTGAGCCGCTCGAAGTCATCGGGCATGTTGCGCTCCAGCCACTCCTTGCACTTCTCATATTCCGGATAGTATTCGCAGTACTGTAAGCATCAACGAATTAAATTGCAGCGCCCAGCCGGCCTAATGTTTGACTCGTTCCTACCTCGATTGGCATTGTGCAGTGGCCGCAGTACTTCATCACAATGGGATAGGTGACGCCTTCCCGCACGCCCAGCTTGAGGCGTTCGGCGACATTTGTACTCACGCTGACGTTTTCGTTTGTCATTTTGCTTAATTTTGATAAATAAAAACTATACACCCAATTTCAGTCGAGACGTTTCTATGAAATATTTGGCAACACTGGCCGGGAAACACGCGCTTCGCAGCACACCGCATCGGTATATTTGCGGTATGTTCTGTTTATTTCGGTATTTCTAAGGTTCGATATATTTAATTGTTATTAACAATTAACAATTCTTTGACAACAAAAAATGAAGAGATAGCGGCGTAGGGTAAGATGCACTCCCACAAAAATGACGCTGCTGGCACGAGCAGTGGCGGCAGCACAGAGGGCAAGATACGGTGCATATTTCTAAGCGAGTTCCATGCTACAGCGGGCTGCAAGATAAGCTGCCAAGTGAGTACGTTCAATGTTAGCCTCTGCCAGCTGTCGTGTAACCCTTGTTCTTGATGGCCCCGCAGGTGCCTGACAACTACATCTCCAAGGATGTCTTCGATGCCATCAACGTGTACATCATACCCAAGCAGCACCTGCAGCGCTGCATCCTCACCGTGAATGCGATGGACGTGAAGATTGTGGGCTACCCCGTGGGCATACAGGACCAGCAGAAGTACGCGCGCAATGCCTTTCTGTTCAATCTGTGCTTCGTCTGCGACTCGCGGGCTCGGTCCGTGCAATACGAGCCCGTGGTGAAGAAGCTATCGGAGTACCTTATCATGATGGAGGAGGAGTCGTGCTTTCTGTCTCGCGAGGACGACAAGCGCCGCCTGCAGAACATCTTCGAGACCGTGCTCAGGGACCTGAACGAGCGCAAGGTGGCCACCATTGTCGAGGGCGACAATACAATTTACCTAAAGATTGTGATGCACAAGCCGGACCCGCCGACCGTGAAGGACCACATGGTGCCTTTGCTGCTGGCCAATTTGCGCGACACTCCGCTAGAGAACTGGGACCTCACCACGCAGCAGGTAAGGCAGTGAATGAATAAATGAATCCATCTCTATCTCGCTCTTATTCAGATATTGCCGTACATCAATGGCATCAACCATGTGGCGCGCATCGCGGCGGAGGCGGATGTGGAAACGGATCTGGTCAAGTCGTGCATACAGAATCTGGTGTACTACGGTGTGGTGCAGCTGCTGCCCATCCTCAAGTACAGCAATGTGTACATGACGCAGAACCTGAAGCACCTCATCCAGAGTGCACCGTTGAGCAACGCGTGTCGCAAGTACGTGGCCCTCAAGCCGGACAAAACGCTGCCCAGCGTGCAGCGCATCTTCCAGTTCTATGCTTCGATGACGCACGGCGTGACGCTGCGTGCCATCTGCCAGCGCCTCTGTCCGCAGCACCACAACATCGATGAGCGCAAAATGGTCATCTTTGGGCTGCAGCACAAGTTCATTCGGTGCATCCACAAGTATCCGGTGTTCACCGGCTCGGTGCCGTCCGGGCGTCAAAAGATGTACACCGGCCTCATCAGCTTCGATGAGATCTGCTGCAAGACGGGCCTCTCGCCCTGCACCATCGAGCGGGACATCGAGAAGGACACAAATGTGACTGTGATTTGGAAGTAAACTTTAATGCTGATGCCAAGCAAAACGCATTCAACACACACAACAGATTGTTATGTTTCCAATTGATTTTTATATGTATACATGAAATATTTATTAGTTGCCATAAATGCCTCAACATAAGTCAACTCCCGCCCCACTCTGTCCTTTGATTTATCACAAGTTTGGCAGTCTGCCGCTGGAGAGAATTGCATCCTGCACGGCCTGCGCCACACAAGCATCCTCTGAGGCCATTCCTGCAAAGTAGTTGGAAAGAGTTTTATGGATATTCCAAGCACTGTACTCGACTCTACGCACCCATGGACTGGAAGATGGTCACTGCTGACTCTGCCGGGAGTGTGCCATGCTTGATGACCGATCCCAGCTCGGCGGTAATGGGCGCGGCCAGGCCAATCAACTCGCTTTGGGCATTGGCATAGCTATCCACATAGATCTGGGCCAGACCGTAAACATTATCCGCCACCTCGGAGTAGTGAATTTCGCCAGCGCCCACAGCTGCAAAGAGTTACAAACGGAATGGATGGAGGTGAATGCTTGGAATGCTTGGACTCACCATTAATATGCACACATCCATCTGGGCGCAGATCTGCTGCATAGACCAGCGGCACCTTTGAGTAGGTGGCAACACAAATGACATCTGAGCCCTGCACAGCCTCCCATGGAAAGTTGCATACAGTAATTTTGGTCTGGCTGCCGAATCCAGGCGTCTGCTGCAACTGCTCGGACAGCCGCTGGGCCTTGGCGATGGTGCGATTGTAGAGATTCAATTGCTTCACCTTGAACTGGGAACAAAAGGCCGATGCATGCATTTGGCCCTGTACTCCGCACCCAATGATGGCCACAGTTATCTCGCGCTCACGCTCGGCACGCGGCCCAAAGCGACGAAAGTAGAGGTGCTTGGTGGCCACCAGGGAGGCGGCCACTGTGCGCCAGGTGGTTATGTCCGTGCCGGCCATGATGGTGGTCAGCTCACCGGTCTCCAGGCTGAACAGCAGGATGTTTGCATTGATGCTGGGCAGCGGCGGATCGCGCTGGGGATTGGAGCTGAACGAGGTGACCAGCTTGCAGGCCAGTGTCGAGTGTGGAATGTTGGCGGCGTCACCGCCACTGCCAGCCGAGGTCAGTTTGTAGTTGCCCACAAAGGCGGGCATCGTCAGCAACACCTGGCCCGGCTCTTTGCTTGAGGTGAAGCTCCTCCCGGGCTGGTTCACAAACGGCTCATTGGGCGACTGGACCGACATGGCCACGACTGCCCGAAGTGCCGACTCAACGGCCTCGATCACCAGCGGCCAGGTGAGGAAACTTCGGACTGTCTCCGCACTATAATAGACGGGGGCCAACGTGTTGCTCATTTTGCTTATTGAAATCGAAATCAAATTGGGGCCTTCTTTTGGTGTTGGCTTTGGCTGACACAGCCTACTTATAGTATAAAATAAAGTTTTTATGTTTTTATTCCATGCCCGCGAACTAATCGATAACATATGCTGCATGATCATCAGAAATATACCAAAATATACCGATTTTGATATTCTAATAAATATTACTAGCTGGTTAAGACTCTCAGCGCTAAAACAATAATTTTATCCGATTTCTGAAACAGAAATTAGCCAGATTGGTCGCTTTTTAGGACTTTGGTTTATTTTTTTGCTAAAAAAATAAAGATCAAAATATAAAGGTCACAAACATTTAGTCTGTACCCATTAATGCAAATTTACAGGCTTTACACGGTAATTACACATTAACTACATTTACTTATGTCATTGGCGACAGAGAGACACCTGCCGAACAAATGCAACATCATTCGTGCAAAAACAGCTGTTTTTATCTATCGATAAATGATGTCACACTTGTGTGGATGTGCAAGTTGGCGGGAGACTCGAAATGCAGTCCAGCTGAAACTATGCATGTTGTACGATCGCATGGCACACATTCGACAAAAGGAAAATGTGATATGAAAATAGAAACCAATTTTCACTGTTGCAAATGATTGCATTTGCAATTTTGCCCCATTCTTCAGCGCTGTCTCGCCGGATGAGAAAGCATTTCCACCGCACGCCAAGGGCAAAACCGCAGAGAAAGGGAAATCATTCATTCGCCTTGTGGCACAGCTTCTGTCAACTGCCTTATCTCTCTATCTTTGACAGAAACAATTCTCGCCACTTCATCTTCATGGGCGCACCATTTCCATTTTCCATTTTCCATTGCCAACACAACACTCAACCACAGCCATTGCCATCGCCATCGCCACAACATTGGCAAACACGAAAGTGAAAACCCTGCAGATGATGCTGGGTGCACTTTTCCGCAGCTGCAAGCTGATAGTAACATTAATTTATGCACCACCATTGTCTTGTCTGCTCTGCTCTGCTCTTTTTCCCAGCTGCTAATTCAAATTTTGACATAATTTTATTTGCCACTCGGTTTTCTTCTTTCCATTTCTTGCTTTCTCATTTACGACTTCGTCTACGACTACGAGTATGTTTGTCCCTTGCCTTGGTGCAAAAATTTCACTTGACTTGACCTTTGTTGCGGTTGCTCGGCGCTTCGGCTGTTCGCTTGGTCGGGCTGCCTGGGTTAGGGTTAGGTCCAAGTACCAGTCCCATTTGCAGTGGCGCAAAGTTGTTCCTTTTGTTGCGGTTTCGGCGGCCTTGGGAATGTGCAATTGCTGGCTGATTTATATTTTCGTAAAGGTGCAACAAATCAAAGTCAAAATCCAGTTGCCGTCGCTGACTCATGGCTCCTGCTTCTACGACCTGTTGGCTCAACTCCCGGCTCCGACTCCGACTCCGACTCAGATTCCGACTACGACTCCGGGCTGGAGCAACAGCGGCAGCCACTTCGAAGTGTTCTGACCTTGCTGCTGGGTAAGTGGCGGGCCATAAATTTTGGTTGTGTTGCGCAAAGCCCAAGCCAACACCAAAAGAACGCCCCAATTTGATTTCGATTACAATTCGGCAGTTCCACTCACATCCAAAAAGAGAATTGTCACCAAAACTTTGAATACATTTCAAGCAAATCAAAGAATTTCCACATAAATGATTTTCTTCGAACACTCTGCGCTCTGCTTGAAAATTCCCAGTTTCCCCCAGCTCAGCTCCCATATGTTGTTACCTAAGCTATCAAATAACCCTCCAACAGTTCTTCCTCCTCATCAGAGTAATATCTTCAGTTGGAATAATCTCTAATAGAATATGAATAAATGTTGCGTCTGCGATTAATTTTGGCACTGCTGGCCTTAGGGGCGTGGTAAAGTTAGTTCCAAATGCGAACAGCATAAAGGAAGAATTTTATTAAATTCGCTTCGCTATTTGAAGGATTAAATCTGCTTTCTGCAAAAGGATTTTCCTATATTTTGTACATTTGCATCGTTGGTGGCTGTGGTTACCACGCATGGGTCTTCGAGTACTTTGAAAAGGTTTATTTATCAGTTGATTTTTATGGGATCTTTCCTTAAAAAACTAAAATTTCCGAATACTTGAAATTCTCTGAAAGGGGAAAGGCTGAGCCATACCACTAAATTCTTTCAAATTTGTGGGAAAACATTCACAGTTTACAGTTTACTTGATTGCACACAGAAAGGCTTGAATGAATTTACTCCACGAATTAAAAATACTTTTACTTAATTTCCAATCAAAATGTGCTACTCAAACAACAATAAATTCAGGATTGGTATGCAATTATCACCCAAAATAGATAGTTTAATGGAGTCGTATGATATTCCCATTGGAAATTTGTTTGAAACTGAGTCAAATGTTTCTTCAATAAATCGGCAGTTAGACAGAGAATGATATTTAGTTAATGATTGAAATCAAGTGTATAAAACCTTCGCCGATCAGACTCAACATTTTCTTCATCTAATTTGCTTTTATTTATTTTTTATTGCTTTTTGCTTTTGTTTTTGAAGTTTTGTTTTTTCTAGCTAAGCTAAGCTGCTGAATAGCTAAGCAATTTTGTTATTTATGCCATTTTTCGGCTGGGGGGCTTTTGAAATTGTGAATGCAAGTGTAACTGTAACTGTAAACTGTAAACTGTAAGCTGTTAATGTAACTGTAACTCCTCTACACACACATACAGGAAAAACAGAACGTTGCCGAGGTTGCCACACCTTTTTGCCTTAGAGCTTTGGCTTTGGTCGATTTTTTTTCCGTTATTTCTTTTTGTCTTTTAGTATCTGTTTTTGTTTTAATGCGCGCCCGCACACTTTGCACACACTCACACACATACATACATACACATAGATAGAAAAAGGAAAGTTGGCAACGCGAAAAACTCGGCTCAGCGCTAAAGTTTTGTAGATCAATCTTGGGCTTAGGTGGTGCTGTGCTGTTAGCCCCCGGCGACGTCGTTGCTCACTAAAATGTTGTTTGTCCTTGGAGAATGTGGCAAAAAAGATAGGAAAAAAATAAACTGTAAAATTATAATATACATATGCGAACTGTTACCGTTCGTTCATACATACATATGTACATATCTGAAGTCGATTATAATTGTGCCGTTATGTTTAGCGTTGGCGCCGCACCCAACGGACACACTCAGCACACCACTGCACACCCCCGCGACACCGCGTCACCGCGCCACCGCGCCACCCGCTCTTCCAATTAGGTTCGATCGGACCAGTATTATTTCTCGTTACTTATTGTAGTCGGAGTCATTGCAGGCATTACTCTAGTGTTTTCCTTTGTCTAATGGTTTCGATTATTGGTTCGATTTACCTTTTCTGTGACTTTGCCTTTGCATTTGCTTTGTTTTTTGTTGTTGTTCTCTTCTTTACAACTTCCGTCTTTGCAGCTATCGTTGGGAATAATCTTTATAGAACAATCAAATGGAAATATTGAGGAAGTCAGAGAATTGGAGGAAATTGGTAGGAGAAGAATGGCTTTTGAAATTGTAAGATCATTTTGAATTAGTCCTTTAAGTGTACAAGTGTAAATGAATTTTACGAATAAGGAATAAGTCTCTACGTTGAGCCTCTTCTTGTATACTTTCCTTTCAGTTTTTCGCAATACCTTTTTCACAATAATATTTAAAGATCTCCCTTAAAACATTTCTTAAAGTAATTATGCACACAGAGCCCACAATCTTGATGTACGCCTCACAGACACACTCGTTTTGGCCAAATCACAGACTCTTACACTGGCTTCCAACACCCACTGAGCCAATTCAGAGCCTAATATTTGAGAGGCCTATTATTAGCATATTTTAGGCACACCTTCCCTTCCCCATCGCTGTCCCCTGCCTTCCCATCCCATCCCAACCCAGGCAGGCAGCCAGTCTCGTTTCCATCACGTCCCGATCTTGCCCTGTTCCACTCGCTCCCAGTCGTTCCAGCAGACAGTCTGAACGAACGGAACACGAACGTTTCGCTTGGGTTTTATCGTGCGGCTGGCGCTTGCCTCGCCAATCAGTGTTGAGCTTTCGGTCAGAGCTGACTACCTCCCTCAAACTACACAGCAAAACAGCAAAACAGCAACACAGAAAAGTGTGGCTGACTGAACGAAGCTGAACGGGTGTGAAGTGCGGTGCAGTGCAGCTACAAATTAAAGTTATCAAACATATGCACTCGTCTATGTTTGTTTGGGACCACGATTACGATGCGTCTGGTGTTCAGTGAATTTTGATTTTTGATTTTTGCCAGGAGCCATCATCGACTGATAGTCATGACTTGGTCATGTTTTCAATGAATTGAATTGAATTGAATTGAATTGTTGTTAAAACGCAACGATTTTGCTTTCAGAACAGTTGCCCTTTTTTTCACTTATTTTTTTTATTGGTTTTTGCTAATTGTTCGGTGTTTTTTCTTGGTGAATTCGGGAATACTTGCTCCTGTTTTTGTTGTTGCCGCATCCAGACGGGAATAATAAAACCAAAAATAAAAAAAATAATAAAAAGAAGCACATTTCTTGTATGCAAATTAAATCATTTGCTTATTGTGCAGTCCAAAAGAATATTTTTCGCCCCTTGCAAGTGTAAAAAAGAAAACAAAACAAAAATAATAATAATAATCACAACAGTGTGGGGCCGCAAAAAAAGATTCAAAATTGAACCTGTTCTGTTGTAGACCCGCACTGGGAGTGGTGGAGGAATAAGCTGAGGGGCCGTGGGGGCATCTGGAGATTGAGGTAAGCTGATTTATTTTGGTTTAATTATACACATTATTGCGTTGAAATATGTACATCTCTGATCACTGATAAGCATTAGATGATCAAGCCATAAAAAGACTCGCAAACTGAAATTTAATAAGCGACTGACCTGCTTCCACCATTGTTTTACTTTTAGTATCTATGTATATTAACATCCAACCTAAAGTAGATCTTCCCTCCGATCACTTTGATGCAGTTCTGCAACGCTGGTCTGCGGGCCGTGCGCTGTGCTGGGTTGGGCGAAACAGTAAAACACTTCCGATCCCACTGAACCGCAACCATCTAGACGGTCATCCGATGCTCACTCCGAACTGACAGACGACCTTGCCCATGAAAGCCCACAGCTGGTTGGATGGCCACTTTTCTGTGGCGGGTCTTTGAAGGAAGTCCGGTTGGACTCGAGGATGATTTTCTGGCTCAATGCATTGCAGAATCGAGGCAAGGCCAAGGCACGTGTGTGAATCAAAAGTTGAACAAAGAAAACAACAAAGAAAAAAGAATATAAGTGCAAGATAACTTTCTGTTGAAGTGCATGTCTTGTAGTACATGAGGATGTAAGAGGTAGAAGTGGAATTAGATTAGAGTAATGTAGAAAAAAATGTTCAACCATCACTCAGTGATTAAGTCGCTGGTCAGTTGACCAACTTGGCCTATAAAAAGTTAAGCTTTACATGAGAGAGAAAAGGGTCCGAGCCATGGCTCTGGCCTATGACTGCCTCCGACTCTGACATCGACTTCGACTTCGACTTCGACCTCAGGCTCGGCTTGGACTCGGACTCGGACTCGGGCTGAACAACAGCTTTGAAATCACTTACCTTTTGACCCGACCCAGTTCCATATGTCAGCAAAGAACAGCGTCTGTCGTCAGTCGATGCTTGGCAGTGTGTGGCTCCACTCCTCATTCATTCGGTGCCTATGCGATATGATCTGCTTGGTCGATTTCATATGCGCAAACACACAAAAAGCAAATTGCATTAACATTTAGGCCTACGCGCTGCACCACCCACAACTCGGCCGACTGCTGCCCGTGCCCGTGCCTGTGCCTGTGCCTGGTACTCCCAGCCGTCGTCAGACAGACACAGACACCCTCACTCAGCTGTTCCACATTCCGCCTCGTTCCAGCTTTATCAGCTTGAGCTCAAGCCGAGTTTCGGTTTCACCAGCTGGCATGGCATGGTTGCTAATATTTCACCAAATATTTATTTAATTTCAAGTTTATTCCACAAAAAGTGTAAATGATGTTTATTTAGTTCTCATTCGGTGCCACATTTGAAATGTATTTCGATATAATGCACATAGGAAATAGGGTATTAGAGACTTGCATGTGAAATACCCCGAAACTGCTCTCTGCTGCTCTCGCAGACCCGAATGATCGGGTACCGCTCTCTTTGGAAAACCAGGAGAGCTAAGCCTAGCTCATGTTTGAGCGCAAAACTGAGCTCCCCAAGCAGCAGCCGTGATCGATGTTGTGGAAATGCTGCCAAAATATTTATCAGGCGCGGAACACGGGTAAAGGGAACAACCGAAATCGTGGCGAACAGTTGCTGAATTCTGAAAAGAAGCCATGCTGACGTAACGGTAGAAATGGTACTTGGCACGAGCCACACAATTCTGTCAACGCAAATAAGAAACATTTTTTGCTAGTCAAGAACTTAAAGGGTAGATTAGATGTATGTACATATGTAAAAAAGTGTGCAAGTGAATATGTGCATATTAAATGAATAACAATGATAATGATGATGATGATGATGATGGTTAAGGGTGCAGTCGGACATCAACCAACAAATTAGCCACTTTATATGGGCAGAGTTCCATGTGCTGGGTGAAAGTGATGAACAACACTTTGGGGCATTACTCGGCTCACACTTCGAGCCAATCCAAAAGAAATTTCATATTTGATATGGCCAAAGAAACAAATGCAACTGCAAATGGCATTTTAGTTGAAGTGTGAAAGGGAAGAAATTAAATCAGTTTTGTATGCTGTATGTTCATGCCACATGCAGCAAATCTCTTCCAAATGCACGCAAACTTACATAGAACTTACTCCCTTCATCCCTGATCATTCTACCTGGTTGCATCCTTTTTCTCCACTGTTAGGTACACATTTTCTTAGATATTTTTTACAAAAATGTAGCCTTAGTATATCTCACAACAGTATAACATTTCTTTTCATTTTGTTCAATTGCAATTTTTCGTAAATTTACTTTCTGTGATTGTTGCGGCAGTTTTCTGTAGTGTTTTTTGTTGTTGTTGTTTTCTGCAGTTTCTGTGTGCTGTGTGCTGTGTGCTGTGTTACCCCCTTTTGTTGTTTCTGGTTGGCTTTGGCTTTCGTGCATTTCGTTTATCTGTGTGTCGCTGGGGCAGCTCACTTTGGCAGCTTTCTTGCATAATAAACAAGATCAGCGCGGCATACAATGTGCAACATTAGGCCAATGTTGGTACGTGGACACACGGGAACGACTGAACTGAACCGAACTGAACCGAACTGAACTGAACTGAACTGGAGTAGCGTGGAGTGGAGTGGATGGAGTGCCTGTGTGGAATGGAGTGGACTTGGAGTGGGGCATGGGGACAATCATAGACAACGGTCGCTGCGCTATGCTGAAAAACTAAAAAGAAAGAAAAACCGAAGCAGTGGCTAACTTTTGCTCTCGTTTCGACTGCTTTGAGGCTTTGCGGCGACTGCGTGAGGCGCATGGATAACTGGATAACTTGGACAGTTTCCCGTTCCCGTTACCGTTACCGTTATCTCTCTCTCTCTCTCTTGCTCTTCAGTTCTGTTTGCCGTGTTTGCTGTGAACCTGCCACTACAAAACAAAAAACAAAACAAAACAAAAACCGAAACTAAATCGTCAGCGCCGCAAAATGTTTGCAAACTTTTTTCAACTCTGTGGCAGCAGCAGCAACCGCGCGGCTTCCCCCGAAAAAAGTGTTGTTCCATTTCGGTGAGGAGATCAGCGAACCCTTTCTGGCATTTTATGGCATCTGCATATGCAATACAGTGGAATCCCGCTATGGAGAGCGTTGCTCACTACAGCATCTCTGCTGCCGCATCACTATTTCGTTGCTTTACTGTTGCAGGGGATAGTTGCAGTGGTAGAGGTGCACATACATAATTTGCTGGTCTTGTAAATGCGGACGCGTGGCACGAGTCGAGACCAAGTCCCAGGGCAGCCATAATTGCCCCTCACTCCGTTTGGACACAACACACACACACACACACACACACACACACACACACTCAGAGACACACTCAATGCGGCACACCGAGACCACAAGCCAGAGAGGAAACCCTCGACCGGTGGCGACTCCAACTGCAAATTCGTGCCCAGCGATCTGCATTGTTTGGCAAATTTGTAAGCGAAAAGTTATTGCAAACTGTTTTCTTGCACTATTGCCTACGCTCACAGGCGGCCACTCCGGGACTGTCTCTGTATGTCTGCCCCTTTAGTTGCTTCTTTTGCCTGGTCTGCCGCCGACAGCTTCTTGTACATAATTATGCCGAAAGCCTCAAGCCGCAAGCTTCAAGCATCGGACACCTTGGCCATGTTTATCTTTGGCACTCACTGCATCTCCGCATGCTCGTTGCAGCTTCGCCCACATGCCACCGCCACCGCCACCGCCACCGCAGGAGCCACATCAGTGTGGAGTGCGCACATCACCGAAATGCCACTGCAACATGACAAAGTACCACAACAGATGCGAGCGATGCCAAACGAGAAGCAAAAAGAAGCTACAACAAGAGATAAAAGTTTAAAGTCTGTGACCAAAGCCCTTTAGGAACCATCGGTTTGGGTCCCCCTATGGCAGCAACTTGTAACAAGTCAAACAAATAATGATCCAAAGAGTTCCACCAATGGCCCCTGCAGGGCCGAGCTTCAATCTGTAATCTTCAGTGAATAAACTGATCACAGAAACTAATTCCTGTGGCCCCTTCGTTTGAGCGATCAAAGTCACATTTGTTTGATCATTTTTCGCATTCTGCCAGCACTCTTCTTACAGTTTCTTAGATTTTAATTAGTTGGTTATGCAATTTGCGAGAGTAGCGACAATTTTCAATGCTAATTAGTTGCACATCCGCCCACACTCATCGGCGAATCATCAGAGGGAGAGAGGCTTATGGCTCGCACCCAGTTTGGGGGCAACATCAAAGGCACACTCCGCATCACTGTGCGGGCAGGAACGAATTGGCTTTTTCGGCAGAAAAGCAAACAAGCAAGAAACAAAAAAAGGCACAGAGAATTCGAAAAGTAAAACATTCAATGGGCAAAAGTCTAATTAAACCTAGGAGGCATGTACAGCTAAATGAACCTTGGCAAGAATTTCCATGGCGCAACAGAAGCAGCGGCAACCATCCCCACTGACAACCACGAGCGAACCACTGAAGCGCGTTATTTGGTTTATCAATTCCAGTCAGCGTTGCAGTCAGTGGTGCAGTGTGGTGCAGTGGTGCAGTGTGGTGCTGGCAGTGTTTTGCAATTGCATTTTACACCGCACCGCACCGCACTGCATCGAGTCTTGGCTTTTGTTTTCCACAGAGACCCTGCCACGAGCTGCTTCGATCAGCCATAAGGGGGAGCCACACACACACACACACACACAGAGAGAGAGGTTCTCCTTCTCCTTGCACATCATGAGTCAGACAATCTGGAGCAACAGCCACCGCCACCGCCACCGCCACCGCCACAGCCGAGAGCAACAAGATCGGATCGGATTGTTTTGGATTGGATCTGGGTCTCTCGCATGTGGAACGCCCACTGGGTGTGGAGACGTTCGATGCTGGATGGCCGTGCCTTCGAATCGGCCAAACAATTTGCTTTTGATTTGCTTTGGCAGCTTTTCATTTACATTTACTGATGACAGTAACAGCAGCAGCAGCAGCAGCAGCAGCAGTCGAGGCAATCCCCAACGGAGCAACAATAATCCCCAGTCGAGCAGCAGCAACAAATGCAACAGAAAATCATGACAATGCTCAAGGT